CAACTGGGAGCTTAAATGTTATTGACCCCTTTAGAGTGAACAACTTATTAAAATCAACTATAAAAATGGAATGAAAAAACAACAGGAGTAATATATATAAGTATACACAAGCACACACATAATGTATATACTCGGCTTAAAAAACACAAAGATCAGTGTGAAAACAATACAAGAGCAAATCATTGTTGTTTTCTGCTGTATTTCATCCCCTTGTTCTGCCATTCATCTTTCCGAGCTTGTTCTTCTGTGCCATCCTTCATTTCCATGACCGAATTGACTAAAGATTTATCCGGAGAAGTTCGGAAAGCATCCCTTCTGGTGTTGACGGAGTAAAAGCCGTGTTACTCAGTGGTCGACGCTTTCTTAGTTTTGCCTCGTTTCTTTCTAGGGGGCTGTGTGTCTCTGGCGTGGGCTGGATTCACACTGTCCACTGGGGAAGGGGGAGTGGTTGGGGTGTTGGTGACGGGGTTGGGTGTGAGGGTTTGGCTTTCTGGGGCTGGGCTTACGGTCTGGGGTGGAGCAGAGCTGAAGCTCTGAGTCTCTGCTGGAAAGAAGGCTGTCACCAGGTGGTGCTCTTTGGGCTTTCGTCCCCTCCTCTTCCCAGGCACTACGTTTTTCATGTCCTTCTGTAAGCCATTGCTCTCTGGCTCTTTTTTCTTGTTGTTAGTCACCTCATTGGTAGATGCCCGAAACCAGTTCTGTGCACATAAGGCCACATCAAGTTCAAAGAGGAACCGATAACAAGGACTATTAGTGAATTTGCATGAATTTTCAGCCTTGGAACATTTTAGAAGGAAACTATTCATCTAGAAAACCCTCAAAACAAAAATTCAAGTTAGCAAGGTTTTTGTGATGATACAAACTTGTGTAGTGTAAAGGATTTATATTGTTCAATATAGCTGTAAGAAAATAATAATTTCCATATGACGGCAGAGATGTTGCAGAGACCTTTTCTAAAACAATAAATCCAACCTGCCCATGCAGATTTATAAGTGGGTTAACTTAAGGATTCAACCGATTTTCTGCAAAATCCAATCCCTCCAGTCAATATTTAAAATCTATTCAAAAATATAAAAGTTCATTAATGAAAAATTCATTTCAAATGTCTTGGTTATTTTAGATAATTCTGAATTCTGAAAATACATTTTGAAAATGTTCTGATAATCAGATTACACACCTATAATAACTAAAACTAAAACCCAAACTAAAACATATAAAAATCAAAAGAGTGTCTATAAAATAAAAACTAAGCAAAAATTTAATGTAAACTGTAAACATATGTAAACTTATAAAACTTATGAACAAATGGAAATATTATTAAAATAAATTCAATGGATTCTGAAGATAATAAAAATGTACATTATAGTGTACTTTTTGTTTTGTTTTTGCAAACTTGTTCAAACTTGTCTTGTTCATTCATATTGAACTTGCTGTGAACAGGCCTTAAAGAGATAGTTCACCCAAAATGAAAATTCTGTTAACAGCCATAGTATTTTTTCCATACTATGGAAGTCAATGGCTACTGTCACTTCATTTCCAGCGATATCGTTGACATGATTGCAAAGATACTATTTAAAATGAGCTGGATGTTGACATCACTGAATTCAATGATGAACTGTCTTTAACTGAAAATTGAGTGTTTACTATTGTCATTTTGCATTATTGACACTATTTTCCTAATTAATGCTGTTCAGTTGCTTTGTCACAATCTGTATTGTTAAAAGCGCTATATAAATAAAGGTGACTTGACTTGACTTGACTACTGTCAATTGTTTGGTTACCAACATTCTTCAAAGTATCTTCTTTTGTGTTCAACAGAAGAAAAACACTCATACCGGTTTAGAACAAGTGGAGGGTAATAATTTTCATTTTTGGGTGGACTATTCCTTTAACAGTCAACATTTCTTAATACTAGAAGACTATGAAGGGCAAATGTTCAGCTTATTTTGTTAAGCATACAGAATACAGGTTTAGTCCGTGTTTGGTTTACCTGAGAGTGTGTCTTGCTGATATGGTACTTCACGCCGCTCTCAGAGTTAAACTCCTTCTGACAGAGCAAACAAGTGTACTTCCCTACGTCGCCCCCTCCCTGTGTGGAGAACAATAACAACAGTAAAGCTGATACAGTATCAGCAATATCTGAGATCAAACGTATACAGCTTATACAGTTGTTTAAATTATTTATAATTAAATAACAACTACGGCAAAGCACACAGAGGACGTGTTATACCTTGTTACAGCTTGCCAAGTGTGCTTTAAGTCCAGATACACTTGAGTAGATAGCCTCACAGTTCTGTTATGAAAGAAAAAGAGACTTGAGGAGAAGAACTGAACAACAAAATTTTTTCAGCATTTTTAAACAATTTTCAAGAGCTCTTCAGTTTCTCCAGCAAATCTAAATCTACTGATATCATTCAGATGTTCATATTAAATTTTTTGAATTGCTTTGGTGCAATTTTCAAAAGCACCTGTAAAATTTTCAGAACTTAGTACTAATTTCACAACAGATCATCAAAGGTGCACTTTTTTCAAACATTTTAGCACATGTTCAATTGCCTTAGTACAATACACACAGTCACAAAATATCCTTTTCACTGCACAAGATAAGTGTTTCATCTATATAAATGTTCATTCACAGTAACTGCCTTTCATAAAGCTCTCACTATCAAACTTTTCATTTGCATTTCATTTTACATTTACTACATTGACAGTAAACTCTGTTCTAGCACAAAACCTTATGGCCATGTCATACCTTCATCACACTTTTTGATAACACACTGGATAAATACTTTTACAAACATTATGGATTTTAAGTGAGTTATGCAAGATAGGTAATGTAAGTGTATTTTCTAAAATACAATTTTTGCCTGTTTTACGGTATAATTATTTCAGCAACAAAGGTGATTTGAAACATGTATCTTGCAAAACCTTATGGCCATGTCATACCTTCATCACACTTTTTGATAACACACTGGATAAATACTTTTACAAACATTATGGATTTTAAGTGAGTTATGCAAGATAGGTAATGTAAGTGTATTTTCTAAAATACAATTTTTGCCTGTTTTACGGTATAATTATTTCAGCAACAAAGGTGATTTGAAACATGTATCTTGCATTGTTTGCTCTTGAATGAACTAATTGTTAAAAGTACTAAATTGAAAGATGATCACAATGCTGTGTTTCAGTGATTAAATCAAATGTTCTCAGTATATATTATACTAATCTTGTTTTGAAACAATGATTTTGTGGATGAAAATATGTGTAATTGTAATGAAAGCATGAGATCAGGTTTTGAAAGAACGACTAGTGATGTTACAAGTGTGATCAGTTTGATTTTTTGTGCTAAGAGTTTTGAAAATATACGCCTTACTTGTGAAAATAGTACCAAAGCGGATAAAAAAACTGTAAGGTCAGAATCTGTCATTGAAGTACTAGAAACTGTTGAAGTCAGTGTTCAGTAAGAAAAACAAGACAAATTCTTACACAATTGGGGCAGCAGATAAATCCTTTCTCCTTCACCTCGTTCTTCCAGCTGTTCACAGTTTCTGGGCTAAAGTTGGGAAGGCCTGGTCGTGTATAGTTGAGCTATAAAAGAAAGTGTACACACAGCTATTAAAAAATAAGTAGTTAAATGTCTATATGAGTAGTATCAACCAAAATTTAGAAAGAAACTACATTTTTAAGTAGCATGATATTAGCATTATATTAGTTTATTAGTTTGTTGCAGAACAGAGAGACAAACCATTTACCTATGCTTCAACGATAAAGTAAATATAAAATAAATATTTAAATATTTAAAATTCTGTTTATCATTATACTTTTTCTAGGACTGTCAAATGAATAAAATGAACAGCACATCAATTTTCAAAGTCATTATTGTGTTAGAAGAGTAAAGCATTAAATAGACATTAAAAAATGAGTTTTTTTAAATGAATACTGAAACATCAAATTATTTTTTTAATGAAATGAGTCATTGTTTTACTGAGTGAGTCATTCATTCATTCAACCGATTAATTTTTTTTCTATATTTAATCACATCAAATTAACACATTAAATCAACAGCCCTAATATTTTCATATAGTCTTTAATGAAATATAAATTAAACTTGATGCTGTCAAACTAATTGATATCGTAATTGCTATGTGTTATATAAATACTGCTAATAAACAAATCTCAGATATTTACATAATTATATAATTTGCCAGGCTCCTTTGTCACAAACTTATAGTTTTAGCTTCAACACTGCTGTACCCTCTTGATGTCTGGTACGAGGTCATCTTTGATGCGTCGTTTGGTGCCCCAGTCTTTGGCCAGCTCGTCCTCTGCGATCTCCTGCAGGTGAAACACCGCCACCTGAGCCGAGCGCCGGCGCACCCTGCCACTGGGCGTCCTCTCCAAATCCAGCAGCTCCTCCATCTCTGTTTTCTCCTCCATCCTCTGCTCCATCTTCTCCACCGGTTCGTCTACTCTCTCCTTTGACTTCTCTCTGCCCTTCTTCTGCACAGGCTCTTCCTCTTCTTCCTCCTCCTCCTCCTCCTCCTCTTCTTCGTCCTCCAGCACATCCTCCTCATCTTTACTGTCTTCCTGTTTCCAGTCCTCAGCTGTGAGCTAAATGGGGTGATATAACAGACATTTAAATACATCTGGATTAATTACTTATCAATAACATGACACTGCTTGTGACATCAGATTAGCACTGTGATATGTAGTGTGGCTGTGTACTCTCACCGAGTGTGTGGACAGGGCAGTGATGGGGGGCTCGGTGCGCAGGTGGTAGTCACGGCCAGCTTTTGAGCGATATGTCTTACCACAGTGCTGGCACAGGAAGACAGGCTTCTGTCCGTCTGGTAGCTCTCTGCCACAGCGTTTCTGATGATACTGATAACCCATCAGATTGGAGAAATGAGCTGAACAGCCCTGTTTGACAGAGAATCAAACATACTTCATTAATTCACTCATTGATCTGTGGGCTGACAGTCTGGGTACAGCGTGCCTTTGAAGGGGCCTGTTTGTTAAAAAAGAAAATTCTGTCATTAATTACTCACCCTCATGTCGTTCCACGCCCCTAAGACATTTGTTCATCTTCAGAACACAAATTAAGATATTTTTGATCAAATCCGATGGCTCAGAGAGGCCTCCATTGACAGCAATGCCACCTAAACTTTCAAGATCCTTAAAGGTACTAAAGACGTCGTTAAAACAGTCAACGTGACTACAGTGGTTCTACAATAATTTTATGAAGTGACGAGAATACATTTTGTGTGCAAAAATAAAACAAAAATAATACCTTTATTCAGCAATCTCTTCTCTTCCCTGTCATTATCCTTACGCGGTTAACGCAGTAAGCACAGTGAAGGCTTCCGTGTTCTACGTCCGAACGCCAGCTCATTATTGGCCAAAGCTGCACATGTGAGAAGAGCAACGCATGCGTGTGATGCTGATGCAGGAGCCATCAAATAATGAGCCGGCGTTCTGACGTAGAACCTGGAAGCGCTGGACGTAAACAACATATGAGAATGATACAGAAGAGAAGAGGTTGTTGAATAAAGTCATAAAATTATTGTAGAACCACTGTAGTCACGTCTACTGTTTTAAAGACGTCTTTAGTACCTTTATGGATCTTGAGAGTTTGGGTGGCGTTGCTGTCAATGGAGGCCTCTCTGAGCCATCGGATTTGATCAAAAATATCTTAATTTGTGTTCTGAAGATGAACGAAGGTCTTGCAGGTTTGGAACGACATGAGGGTGAGTAATTAATGACAGAATTTTCTTTTTTAACAAACAGGCCCCTTCAAAGGCACGCTGTACCCAGACTGTCAGCCCACAGATCAATGAGTGAATTAATGAAGTATGTTTGATTCTCTGTCAAACAGGGCTGTTCAGCTCATTTCTCCAATCTGATGGGTTATCAGTATCATCAGAAACGCTGTGGCAGAGAGCTACCAGACGGACAGAAGCCTGTCTTCCTGTGCCAGCACTGTGGTAAGACATATCGCTCAAAAGCTGGCCGTGACTACCACCTGCGCACCGAGCATCCCGTCACCGCCCTGTCCACACACTCGGTGAGAATACACAGCCACGCTACACGTCATACTGCTAATCTAACATTGTGTGGAAAAACGTCACGACCAGTGTCATGTTATTGATCATGTTACTGCGTAATTAATCCAGATGTTTGTTATATCACCACATTTAGCTCACAGCTGAGGACTGGAAACAGGAAGACAGTAAAGATGAGGAGGATGTGCTGGAGGACGAAGAAGAGGAGGAGGAGGAGGAGGAGGAAGAAGAGGAAGAGCCTGTGCAGAAGAAGGGCAGAGAGAAGTCAAAGGAGAGAGTAGACGAACCGGTGGAGAAGATGGAGCAGAGGATGGAGGAGAAAACAGAGATGGAGGAGCTGCTGGATTTGGAGAGGACGCCCAGTGGCAGGGTGCGCCGGCGCTCGGCTCAGGTGGCGGTGTTTCACCTGCAGGAGATCGCAGAGGACGAGCTGGCCAAAGACTGGGGCACCAAACGACGCATCAAAGATGACCTCGTACCAGACATCAAGAGGGTACAGCAGTGTTGAAGCTAAAACTATAAGTTTGTGACAAAGGAGCCTGGCAAATTATATAATTATGTAAATATCTGAGATTTGTTTATTAGCAGTATTTATATAACACATAGCAATTACGATATCAATTAGTTTGACAGCATCAAGTTTAATTTATATTTCATTAAAGACTATATGAAAATATTAGGGCTGTTGATTTAATGTGTTAATTTGATGTGATTAAATATAGAAAAAAAATTAATCGGTTGAATGAATGAATGACTCAGTAAAACAATGACTCATTTCATTAAAAAAATAATTTGATGTTTCAGTATTCATTTAAAAAAACTCATTTTTTAATGTCTATTTAATGCTTTACTCTTCTAACACAATAATGACTTTGAAAATTGATGTGCTGTTCATTTTATTCATTTGACAGTCCTAGAAAAAGTATAATGATAAACAGAATAATGTCATTTTAAATATTTATTTTATATTTACTTTATCGTTGAAGCATAGGTAAATGGTTTGTCTCTCTGTTCTGCAACTTTTTGCCAAACTAATATAATGCTAATATCATGCTACTTAAAAATGTAGTTTCTTTCTAAATTTTGGTTGATACTACTCATATAGACATTTAACTACTTATTTTTTAATAGCTGTGTGTACACTTTCTTTTATAGCTCAACTATACACGACCAGGCCTTCCCAACTTTAGCCCAGAAACTGTGAACAGCTGGAAGAACGAGGTGAAGGAGAAAGGATTTATCTGCTGCCCCAATTGTGTAAGAATTTGTCTTGTTTTTCTTACTGAACACTGACTTCAACAGTTTCTAGTACTTCAATGACAGATTCTGACCTTACAGTTTTTTTATCCGCTTTGGTACTATTTTCACAAGTAAGGCGTATATTTTCAAAACTCTTAGCACAAAAAATCAAACCATTCATTCATTCAACCGATTAATTTTTTTTCTATATTTAATCACATCAAATTAACACATTAAATCAACAGCCCTAATATTTTCATATAGTCTTTAATGAAATATAAATTAAACTGGATGCTGTCAAACTAATTGATATCGTAATTGCTATGTGTTATATAAATACTGCTAATAAACAAATCTCAGATATTTACATAATTATATAATTTGCCAGGCTCCTTTGTCACAAACTTATAGTTTTAGCTTCAACACTGCTGTACCCTCTTGATGTCTGGTACGAGGTCATCTTTGATGCGTCGTTTGGTGCCCCAGTCTTTGGCCAGCTCGTCCTCTGCGATCTCCTGCAGGTGAAACACCGCCACCTGAGCCGAGCGCCGGCGCACCCTGCCACTGGGCGTCCTCTCCAAATCCAGCAGCTCCTCCATCTCTGTTTTCTCCTCCTTCCTCTGCTCCATCTTCTCCACCGGTTCGTCTACTCTCTCCTTTGACTTCTCTCTGCCCTTCTTCTGCACAGGCTCTTCCTCTTCTTCCTCCTCCTCCTCCTCCTCCTCTTCTTCGTCCTCCAGCACATCCTCCTCATCTTTACTGTCTTCCTGTTTCCAGTCCTCAGCTGTGAGCTAAATGGGGTGATATAACAGACATTTAAATACATCTGGATTAATTACTTATCAATAACATGACACTGCTTGTGACATCAGATTAGCACTGTGATATGTAGTGTGGCTGTGTACTCTCACCGAGTGTGTGGACAGGGCAGTGATGGGGTGCTCGGTGCGCAGGTGGTAGTCACGGCCAGCTTTTGAGCGATATGTCTTACCACAGTGCTGGCACAGGAAGACAGGCTTCTGTCCGTCTGGTAGCTCTCTGCCACAGCGTTTCTGATGATACTGATAACCCATCAGATTGGAGAAATGAGCTGAACAGCCCTGTTTGACAGAGAATCAAACATACTTCATTAATTCACTCATTGATCTGTGGGCTGACAGTCTGGGTACAGCGTGCCTTTGAAGGGGCCTGTTTGTTAAAAAAGAAAATTCTGTCATTAATTACTCACCCTCATGTCGTTCCACGCCCCTAAGACATTTGTTCATCTTCAGAACACAAATTAAGATATTTTTGATCAAATCCGATGGCTCAGAGAGGCCTCCATTGACAGCAATGCCACCTAAACTTTCAAGATCCTTAAAGGTACTAAAGACGTCGTTAAAACAGTCAACGTGACTACAGTGGTTCTACAATAATTTTATGAAGTGACGAGAATACATTTTGTGTGCAAAAATAAAACAAAAATAATACCTTTATTCAGCAATCTCTTCTCTTCCCTGTCATTATCCTTACGCGGTTAACGCAGTAAGCACAGTGAAGGCTTCCGTGTTCCACGTCCGAACGCCAGCTCATTATTGGCCAAAGCTGCACATGTGAGAAGAGCAACGCATGCGTGTGATGCTGATGCAGGAGCCATCAAATAATGAGCCGGCGTTCTGACGTAGAACCTGGAAGCGCTGGACGTAAACAACATATGAGAATGATACAGAAGAGAAGAGGTTGTTGAATAAAGTCATAAAATTATTGTAGAACCACTGTAGTCACGTCTACTGTTTTAAAGACGTCTTTAGTACCTTTATGGATCTTGAGAGTTTGGGTGGCGTTGCTGTCAATGGAGGCCTCTCTGAGCCATCGGATTTGATCAAAAATATCTTAATTTGTGTTCTGAAGATGAACGAAGGTCTTGCAGGTTTGGAACGACATGAGGGTGAGTAATTGATGACAGAATTTTCATTTTTGGGTGAACTAACCCTTTAAAACAAACCACATTTACATAGTGACAAATAAGCTATTTTTTCAGGAATGTTCTCATCTTCTCCCCTCCACTTTCTATTTCTCTTCTCATCACTTTATCCACACATAGTAATTGGAACCAGACTGCTCTGCTGAAAAGACCAATTTAAAATGAATTTCCAGGCTGGTTTATGCTGGTTAGTGCTGGTCTAGCTGGTGAACCAATACATGCATGCATGCTTCCAGACAGACAGACAGAAAGAAAGAAAGAAAGAAAGAAAGAAAGAAAGAAAGAAAGAAAGACAGACAGACAGACAGAAAGAAAGAAAGAGACAGATATAGATAGATACAGACAGACAGATTGATAGACACAGACAGACAGACAGACAGACAGACAGACAGATAGATAGATAGATAGATAGATAGATAGATAGATAGATAGATAGATAGATAGATAGATAGATAGATAGATAGATAGACAGATACAGACAGACAAACTGACAGTCAGAAAGACAGATAGATACAGACACAGACAGACAGACAGACAGACAGACAGAAAGAAAGAAACAGACAGAAAGAAAGAATGAAAGAGACAGATAGATAGATAGATAGATAGATAGATAGATAGATACAGACACAGACAGACAGACAGACAGATAGATAGATAGATAGACAGATACAGACAGACAAACTGACAGTCAGAAAGACAGATAGATACAGACACAGACAGACAGACAGAAAGAAAGAAAGAAACTGACAGAAAGAAAGAGACAGATAGATAGATAGATAGATAGATAGATATATAGATAGATGAATCAGAATTTTTTTTTGGAGTATTTTGTTTTCAACTACCTCAGAAAACTTGCCTTGAAATCACATTATACACTTGTCGTTCTCTTCCTGACAAAGTGGGCGGATCTTGGCTAGAATAAGCTGCAATGTGGCCCAGACCTTATGCTGATTCTCAAATGTTTGGCTCAGTGAGACTCAGCACCTGGCTCAAATAACAAATCACAGACCTAAATGCACATCCTCATTAATGTTTCATACTGTTTCTGAGACATTTGGTTGTGCATAATTTAACACATTTCATTGGAAATATTGTTTGCAGCTAATGCTTGAGCTTGGCAGATGGAGCTTACATCCTCGTGGCCCTCTTTAACCAGCGTTTCTCTCTCATGTTTTTACACTAAACCTCACAAGGGTCACAAGGGACACCATCATCATTATGAGATGTGCCGTTCCTATTTAGACATTGGCTGAATTTGACTGGGAAAAAACAGATGAACTTTACTCATAAGGCAGATTACCATGATTTACCGTGGAGAAGATTACTGGCAGGAAAGCTGTTAATAGTTTAGGAATGTTGAGGAAATTATCACTGTACAGAAATAAGGCTGGGGAACAGGAGACAATAATTACAGTTGAAATACTGCTTGAAGACTGTTTTAAAAGGCATTACTAGACATGAGCTAGACCTTTTCCCTTTATGTGCAGTTAATGGTTAGAACCTAATGGATGCTTTAGGTCTTAAAGTGATTCTGGAGAATAGAGATGGTGTCAGATATAATAGAGATTAGAGGCCGATGTGGACGCAGGGCAGCCGCTGGCTTCTGAAGTGGACACTGTATGTAATATTAAACACTGTTCTGCTGCATATACTGTACACACACAGCTCCACTAGTTTATTAAAGGTATTAAAGTGCTATAGTTACAGTTTTGTTTGTTTGTTTCAACCAGGTGCCTTTTTTCCTGTGGAGTACCCTGGTAAAATGAAGTGCTCTTAATCTGATTAAATGTACACTCACACTTCAAAACTTAAAAGTATATATTTTTTAAACTGTACTGGCTGGTAATATAATTTTAATTAAATAAAAGGCCATTTAAGTTAGCTTTGATGTTTTGACTAACATACACTGAACAAAATTATAAATGCAAAAAAATTTTTGCCCTCGTTTTTCATGAGTTGAACTCAAAGATCTAAGACTTTTTCTATGTACACAAACTGATGTTAAAGGTGATGCAATTTTAATTGTTTAAATTATTTATACATTGTATTTCAAATCATATTCTCATCAGTTTTGACATCTAGGAGATAAGCTCTGCTATAGATCTGCAGTTAATTCGTATAAAAAAATTAAGTACATTTGTTCTGGCACCGCCGCTCACCTTAACGTGGTCAGCCATGCTGTGGTAATTGAGTCCAGCTTTTGATCGGAACTGTTTCTGACACTGCTGACATTTGAGAGCGTCCCGCAGCTACAAGAAAAAGACCACACTTTATGATGTACACCTCAAATATCATGAAATCATGGTTAGAAATGTGACATTTTATATTTGATATACCAGTTACAATGATACAATGATCCGCTTGAAGCAGTCAACTAATAAAGTAATGTACAAATAAAGCATTTGTAGGATTATTCCACTGAAAAGCATCAAAATATTCTCTACCAGCCCCACACGACAACTTTGATTGTTGACAATAACGTGAATTTGGTTCAAAGGCATGAAGGTCATTGAATTTTTACTATTTTTTTTAATTTCGTGTGGTGATGTTAATGGCACAAAAATGACACACTTAACTTTTTATAATCTGCTAAAAGAAAACCACAGGAATGAAGTAAACAAGATTTTATATAAAAATAACTATTAACAATAAAGAACTATTTATTTTATCATGTGTAATAATGTAAATTATTTGAACACATTCAAGGCCCATTCACAAAAATTCATTCAGCAACAAAGAAACATTTCCAGTCAGTCAGTTTTTTTTTTTCTTTGTAAAAATTAACTTGCTGATCGATAAGATATAAGATTGGGGTTTTCAGACAGACGTGAAACATGCATTCCTATCGACCTAGGCTGTGTTTCTCGATAACGATTGATCTTAGCACTTAAAGGGATAGTTCACCCAAAAATGTGATGTTTATCTGCTTACCCCCGGGGCATCCAAGATGTAGGTGACTTGGTTTCTTCAGTAGAACACAAACTGAGATTTTTAACTCAAACTGTTCCAGTCTGTCAGTCATATAATGGAGGTGAATGGGAATCACGGCTTTGAGAGTCAAAAAAACATACTCAAACAAAACCAAATTAAACCATGCGGCTCGTGACGATACATTGATGTGTAAAAACACAAAACGATCGGTCTGTGCGAGAAACTGAACAGTATTTGTATAGTTTTTTACCTCTGATTCACCGCAATGTCCGAACTGTCCTGAGCGCAGTGACACTCCTAATTGAGATTGTAGATTCAGTTTCTTGCACAG